ATTTTGTAAATGGTATTAACTTAATCTCCTTTTTCTGTTGCATCTTTCGGTTTGCACAATATCGAATTAAGCGATTTTACTAGCTTGTGTGCTATATCTATATCAAACGGTTTCAGTATTCTAGCTGTTATTTCAGAGATATTTCTCATGTATGATAGAATAAATTTTCTTGTGGTCTTTGATGATGGTTCCTTTTTGGTGTTATTCGATTTTAAACACTTTTTGATGAAATTTTGTGGACAACCATTCTTTTTGAAGACCATTTGTAGGTATTTTTCTTCCATTCTTTTCAACTCTGGAGTGCTACAGTGTGTTTGAACTCTTTTAAACAATGTCTGCACACAGTTCCTTTTGTGAAATATTTCCAGCAAGATGCCATCAGCAACTCCGTCCACAAAACTCACACACCAATGTTTCCCGCAGACACTTTAAGGCCAGAATAACCTTAATTCACCCAAGCAAAGTCACACTGTACAACACATTACCAATGTACACACAACCACAAAGAGGAACAATAAAATTAGAGATTAAACAGAGACAAGGACAAATAATAAGGACCAAATCAACATGTGATGTAGAAATGTTAGGAAAGGCAGAAAATTTATTGATAAACTCTTATTCACTCTATCTTAATCGTAACTTCACTAGAGAACATGAAGTAAATGATACTCTTTGATTCCTAGATAATTATATGATGAAAAGCATTGATGGCACCTCATAATTAGAGATTATTACGATCGGAAAAATAAGATAAAACCTTCATTATTCTGAAATCAGTGAGGAAATCCGCTGTAATAAACACAAGAAACAAGATTAAGATTTCCGACATTAATGTCAGATCAGTTAGTCATTGTATATTAGTGAAGGACTTGGCACGCGTATAGGTGAAAAGCACTTCCAAGACTATTAGACTACTGAACATATTTATTAACAACTACCCTCTTTCTATACTGGTGACCAGATGACCGACTAGAAAGTATGATGCTGCTACAGGACTAGACTACGTCAACTCGTAGCTTAGTGATAGGGAGTGAAGTGATAGAATATTTTGACCACTTCACCTATTTGGGAAGTTGTATCAGCATCAACGGATTGATTGGTGACGAAACCTCAGCACGGATCCTAAAAGCTCGGGCTGCTTTCGCTAACTTACACCGTCTCTGGCGTAGGCGTGACATCCGACTATCAACCAAGGGAAGTGTGTACTGCTCAGCAGTTCGTTCCGTCCTTCTTTATGGCTCTGAAACATGGCCAATACGAGTTGAAGACATGAAAAGGTTGACTGTTTTTGATCATAGATGTCTACGATCTCTTTCTCACGTTAGGTGGTATAATAAGGTTAGTAATGTTGACGTTAGGCGTAGAGTGTTGGGCAAAGAGGGAAAATCAATCGAAGAGACTATAAAGTTACATAGATTGAGGTGGCTAGGTCACGTGCTGCGCATGCCTGACCATCGCCTCCCCCGACGGGCATTACTAGCTGATATGGGTGCAGGTTGGAAAAGAGTAAGTGGTGGCCAAACAAAAACATGGCCTCATCAATCCATGAAATCCTTGACAGTTAAACTGAGTCAGGTAGGGAGGGAGATGCAGACTTCTGGGTTGGGGCCCGCCCTCGGGACTCTAAGAATCAATGGCTGGAGACAATAGGTGACATGGCTCAAAATTGTTGTCAATGGCTTACGCAGATGTATTCAGTCAGTCTCTCTAATCTTTCATATTCCTTTCTACCATTACTCATTCTGTTTCACTCTTATACTTGTCAAAACTCTATTGATTCTCTTCACTCATTTTCTTGTCTATCTTTGTGTGCTATTTGGAACGTGGCAACTGGAACTGCTGCACTTCGGTACCAAGTTCGATGTTGAATCCAGACAGACAGATGAGCAACATAGAACACTGGTAAGCAACTTACTATCCAAGAACTTATTGTCCAACTAACGAAAATGCTGAAGAAAATAGAAATGGATGTATCGGACATTTACTGAGGAGACCATTCAGTGCCACAAGGCATGGTACTCGTATCTCTCCTATTAATTTTGTATATGAATGAATTATCTCTCCCCTATGGTCCTATATGCAGATGAATTAAACACTTGGAGAGAGCTGAAGGGCAACAGTGAAACGTTCACGTTGCAGGAGGACCTCAACAAATTTTCAGAGTGGTTCAGAGAATGGATGCTCCCGATCAATGTAGCAAAATGTGCAATCGTGCACATCGGAAAAGCAAGCACGAGTTCCTACGAACTAGAGGGAATGTTGGGCTGTTAACTGGTTACATTCTTATTTCTCAGAAAGAAAGCAGTACACCGTGTATAAAGGGAAGTCTTCCACTTCACTGCCTACTGAAGGTGGTGTCCCTCAAGGCGCTGCCCTTTCTCCTTTTCTTTTTTCTTTCTTCTTACATGACTTGCCTCACTCTGATGAAATAAACTTTATGAAGTACGCTGATGATTTAACTGTTTCAATGGCTGTTAACTCCCAGCTAGATTGCACCAAAATAAATAGCTTTCTGTCGGGAGTCAGTAAATGGTCTGAGTCTAACTGTCTTAAACTGAATCCTTCTAAATGTCAAACTGTTAATTTCAGATTAAGATGTAAACGACAGTTAAAAGAAGCCGTCGATTCTCATGACAGTTGTAAGATTGATGACAATGATATAGGAATTAAATCAGAAATTAAGTATCTTGGACTTATTCTCTCTTCTGATGTCTCCTGGTCTTCCCATGTCTTAGCGATCTCCAGTAAAATATTCCGCCTGACATTTTACATTAAGAAGTTAAGGCACTCGGGTATAACTCAACCCCTCCTCTTACTGTTCATAAACTCTTGCATCCTACCTATTCTTCTTTATTGTTCACCCTTATTCTTTCCTGGTTTGCTTAAAAAGGACTTGTCAAAATTCATAGAATGCTGAAGACTGTCAGTAGGGTGAGTGGTGTCCCAGTGGACCACATAGTTAACATCGTTGTCGATAGGCACTTGACTTCGTGCAATAAATTTGCTAAAGGGATTTTGTCTGACTTGGAGCATCCACTTCACCCTCAGCTTTCACCTTGAATCTCCTCAGGTAGAACAAGAAGTGACTTCAGAAAACTGTATGCTCGCACGTCTAAGTATAAAAATTCTTTGATACTATACTTGGCGCGAATTTTATGTGATGAAAATAGTGTCAGGCAAGAATCGACTAACCTTTTTTCATCTAGTAAATAAAAAATCTCCTCCATCCATCTTAATATACCTTCAAGTTTTACTTTTATTATTTCTGTTATATTTATGGTCCTGTTGCCTCTTTGTTTTTACTTTCATAACTGCAAACACTAACTTATCTCTATGACTGCTGTAATCTTTGTTTTTTTCCCTCACCATATCATGTAAAGAGAACATCATATTCAATCATTTTAATCATGCAAGGATTTGTATACCGCATCGACAATACTGTGTGAAACAAGCGCACGGCAATTTTCACTTGTATTATTATCATTACCTTAGCTGCTATCATTATTATCCCATTTTATATGCTGCATGTTTTTTATTTTTTTTATATTAACCCTATTGTAAATGTAGAAAAATTTTTCTGTGTGATTAATTTTATTTATAATTTGAGGAAATTAGATGCAATATTGTGATTAATGCTGAAAATTCCATTCTGTATCACAAGTACTGTTTTTGGAATAAAGTAAATCATTATTATTATTACACTTCCATCAGTTCAGACTCACTTGGACTTAGGTGTCATAGTTAGCCATGACTTAAAAACTGCAGCACAATGTCGCGCGGTGGCTGCACGTAGTTTCAGGTCCTTATGGGCAATTTGCAGAGCCTTTACTAGAATCATCAGAGATATGTTCACCTCCTCATATACATCTCTGGTGAGGTCAAGACTGGAAAAGTATCCAGGCCACCAATCCTGGTCTGAAAGGGGACTCACACATTCTAGAAAGGGTTCAAAGGAAAGCAACACGTATGGTTCTCGGCATGACTAACTTATCATACAAGGAAAGACTAGACAGTTTAAATCTCTTCTCACTGTAATACTGTAGGTAGAGAGGAGATTTAATTACTATGTTTTAAATTTTAAATAATGACTACGGACCTCACCTATTCTCTCTCTTTTCCTTCCCACCAGGTCGGAACACCTTGGAGAACATAGCAGCAGAGTTCAAAAGCCAGGAAGAAATCATATTGCTGTTGAGTACTGGTTCTCACACCAAGTCATAAACTCTTGGAACAGACTCCCAGAAGAAGTGGCGTCTGCAACCTCAACTGATCCATTCAAGAAGGGTTTGGACAGCCAAAGAAATTTACTAGAAGAGGATTAATATCGGCTCCAGGCCTTCTATCCCCAACCATTAAATCTGAATCTGTTTATGTCTAGGTGTATGGTTTCACAATTTGTCTCATAGTTACTTGAATACAAGTAATTTCTAGCGTGGCATCTGATTCCCTATTTTGATCATATTTCGCCTGTTAAGGAATTCCAACACACAAAGTTTTGTTGGTATTAGATGGTTGGAGGCAATCGGCAGGAAGTCTAGGTCCAAGGCTTCCTGCCAATTGCCTCCAACCATCTAATACTAACAATTCACAGTGCACCGTAATGGCGAGCCACCTAGCATGGTGGCCACATTGCAAACAGGACCGATAGAATTTAGTCTGCACCGAAGATAGGACCAGACACATTACACTAGTTACTGACTAGTGTGCAATCAAAAATACACAAAGGTTTATCTGAGTTTACCATCTAAAGTGAATTGAACACAGACTAAAAAGCCAAGGTTTAGGTCTTCAGATAAAAGGATCTTTGTTCTGGGACCTCTTGCTAGCTTCCAGGTTAATTTTTTATTTGTCGATCATTACGTGAATTTATGTGCACTAGATAATTAATAAATTCTGATGGGATGTATAAGCAGCCATGAATAGACAGACATAATTTTACTTCATCCAGTAAATTAGTTATTTGAGTACCTTTAATTCAAATGAATATCAGTGATACCTACCTGAAACTATGCTGTCCCACAATGTGGCTTTTGACATTATTTTCTCAGTGTTACAGAGTGGCTCCTATGACACTAATAAGCTTTAGTGCATTAAAACAAACTATTTTTGCAGCATCCAATATCCAGTATCGTTTTTACGAGCTAGTATAAACCAATTTGATTTCTTTGTGCTCACCTCTTGATTGTGAGGTACAGGTTCTTAATCTTCGGTAAACTTCTGCGTAGCTCGTCCCGCCACTCGACTGTCGTAGCTTTGGTTGACTCCAAAAGGAGTAGTGCTAGAATTAATTATATGTGGTTTGTATTATGAGGTGTCAAAATCCCCAGTACTTGAATTCCGTATCCTTTCATTTCGTTTGATATCTGGGCAGCTGCAGGCAAAGGAGACAGCTCAACACCTGAAAGAAACAACCTCCTTTACCCACCGACCTGGGAAGCATCATTTCAACTACAGGCGGACGGAACTGACGAGGATATCAAAGCAAGAATCGGAAAAGCAAGACAAGCTTTCATTACTCTCAAGTCTGTGTGGAGGTCAACAGTCAGCTCTCAGCATCAAAAATAAGATCCGGATTTTCAACTCCAATGTGAAGTCAGTCAGTGCTACTATACGGATCAGAGACTTGCACTGCGCGTCAAAAAGAGCATTTCAAACAAACTACATACCTTCATCAACAGCTACCTGTCTTCGCTCACTACTCAAGATCAGATGGCCGGTTAGAAAAGATCAGCAACAGAGATCTCTGGGAGCAAACCAACCAGGAACCTACTGTGAAACAAATAGGCAGGAAGAAATGAAGGTAGGTAGATTCGCCATACTCTGAGGAAACCACCAAGTGACATCACTAGACAAGCCATTGCTCGAGTGGAACCCGAAAGGGAAGCGGCTAGTTGGTCGTCAGTGCAAGGGTGACTTGGAGGAGGTCATGTGAAGAGGAGATGAAAGTGTGTGGGCAGACTTGTAGCCAGGTGAAGACTCTAGCAGAGAACCGAACGCAATGGAGACGCACGGTTGAAGCCCTATGTTCCTCTAGGAATTAAAGGAAACAATAATTATTATTATTATGAGGTGTGTTAAGACTGTTACTACTGAGAATTAAGTTGATCCTTTTACCAGTTAGTCCTCCGGTATCGTAGTCAAAAGAGAAGAGATAATTATAATGGATATAATTAGTGAAGTTATTCGGACTAACGGACAGAAAAAGAAATAAAGAGAAACACTTAGGTTATTTTGACTACATTAGGCAATGCATTGATAATGGGCGTTCGGTAACAACGTTATTTCTCGACGTTAGCAAGGCCTTCGATAAAGTCCAACATATCAGACTCCTAACAAAACTTCAGTCCTACGGAATAACCGGAAAACTTCTCAAATGGATAAATTCTTTTCTCACAGAAAGAGAGCAATTAGTCAATATCAACCACCAGATGTCTTCATCAAAGCCGATAACTAGTGGTGTAATACAGGGTAGCGTTCTTGGCCCTGTTCTATTCCTCTTATTTATAAATCACATGGTCTCTGTGATCAACTATGGCAAGCCATACCTCTTTGCAGATGATCTCAAGATAATATGTGATTTCGGGTACGGTGATATGAGCGTCAAAAGCAAAATCCAACATGACTTGAACAATCTAGGCGAATGGAGCGAAAAGTGGCAACTAGCTTTCAACCCAGACAAGTGCGGTATAGCCCACCTTGGACGCTGGAAACCGAGAATGTGCCTATATATGTAAGGTAATCTATTCTCAAAACTGGACACAGTCACAGATCTCGGGATAACATACTCAGATTTAACCTTTACTGATCATGCAAATAAGGTTGTATCTGACTGTAAACGACTTACTGGCTTTGTACTGTGTAACTTCTACACCCAAGAAGCAAGATTAGCTATATATAGAACATGTATCCGCCCCAAATTTGAATATTGTGCTCTCCTGTATAGTAACCTAAGGTCTGCAGACCGAAAAACAATCGAAAATGTTCAAAGATTCCTAGCGAAACGCATAATATGGTTGGACCAACAAGTGGAATATGTTGACAGGTGTATATGTCAGTGTCCAGGTCTAACTACCCTGGACCTGACGCTGTTTTTAGAAGAATTTCAGAAGCTGTTTTCAATAACCAACGAGAAAAACCAGAACACAAATTGGTGATTCAATACAGAACCAACCACAAGGTTATTGTACACAAAGACTAAGGATAGATGTTACAACAATTAATTACAATAATACTTCTGATAGTTTTTCTCTGTCTTTTAACAAACAGCGAACGATAGAACGATGTCTGCAGTATCGATGACTCCCGCCAAAATATGGAGTTGGGTTTGAGCAAACAACCATGAATTGATCCTTCGTTTTTCAACTACTTTGACAGTATACGTCTGAAATTAGAACCTCTGTGGTTAAGGAAAGTGAAGTGCAACTTATTTCTACTCCTCAAAGTCCTTAGGAAACATTGTTACAGTAACTCATCCATAACGTGTGAAAATATCAAATCATATCAGCTGCGAAACCACAACTACCTTGTCAAGGTAGCTACCCACAGAAAATCCACTTGGGCAAACTTTTCCACCATTAAATATTGCACTCTTTGGAACCAACTACCATCTGAAATTAGATGTTGTGAAAACCCCGATGGGTTCAAACGGAGCCTAGAAATACACATCAACATGTCCACCCTAGCTCGTCTGAAAGATCACAACTTTTGGTGGAACGGTAAATGAAAGCCGGTCCAGTCTTCAGCTAAGTCAGTTACATATAACTCGACTCTACTACTTACGCAGCGAACGTTTAACCAATTTACTGATTTTCCTTTCCGTATGGTCTTCAATAAGTTATGTTAGTATATTTCTAGAAACAATTATATTAGTAACCACACATTTTGATATTTTACATATGTATACACAGTTTATAATACAATGCTATTTTTTGTGTCTAAATTATTTTTTATTTATTTTTAATTTTGGTTACAGCTTGCTGCCACACCGTATTTTAGTACAAGTATGGAATTCTCAGCATGGATATCGGTAGCCCAAATTTTACAGACCGACCATAGATATGGGGTGTGCGTCGGCAGGAGATCGAACCTCGGACCATGTGCACGGTCGGCGAGAGTCCTAACCACTGTGCCACCGACACTCAACCAATAAACACCTTTCCTCATAAACTCTGCTAAAACGTATAATCTTTATAATATTTCGCAGTATCTTTAACATTATATAAGTTGAAGCGTTAATTTGCGATGTCTATTGAGGCTGAAACTTGCTCTTTGTTCATATCTGCTGCTTGCCTTAAGTCTGGTTTCTTTGATTAAAAACACAACAACACCAATGTTTGAACAAAGCTATATTTTCATCGGAAACATCTTAGTTTCCACGCTTAGACCAATGTGGTTAGCATTAAACATTGCAAATGTGAACTATCATTTCAAATACCATATAGCATCTTCTCCTTGTATTTGTCTTGTAAATATACTTCCAATTATGTATTATTCATAATTGCATTTTATACCATTTTGAAGCTGCGCAAAATTTTCTCCTCTTCATGAAATAGCGTTCAATCACGTGGCGGTATAGCACACACCCAGGTATACGCTGTTCACTGGTAGGCCATAACTATCAGCAGGAAACAGAACGAAGTTTGGGTTGTCGCTCAACTTTGATGATGACCTTAGTGAAGGGTTTGCAATTTAACATTTATAAGAACCTGTTCTGATTGCTTGTGCAATAATCGGACAATTTAAACCTATGAGAAGGTATTAATTCATGATACTTCAGGATTGTAATTTATAACATAACTCATCGGGCCTGTAGAAATGGCATGCATTTCTTATGAACTTACCTGTTTATACGAAATGAAAATTAGTTGTGTAAAATATAACTCTGTTCCAGACACAATTGTCGTCTTAAATCTTTTTACCTTGATTCCGCTCGTCAGTACGTGCACGCTAGGCAGAGTACAGTTAAGGTCACATATCGGTGGAGAAGTTTTGTAAGAGTGGTTATTTTGAGGTCTACATTAAGCCAAGTCTAGGTCCTTCATGCTTATCATGTACTTCCAATAATATTAAAATTTATAATTATAGTTTGTTATAGCTTACACGTTTAATGAACTTAAAATATCTATGTATGGTGAAAAAGAGGGTGTAGGAGTCAGACGCAGAGGTGCATTGTCATCTTTGAGAAGTCTGGTGACTGAGGAGATGAGCACTGCGAGTGTGTTTGCATCAAGCACATCAGCTGGTAGTCTATTCCAAATGACTGAAAACTTATTTAAGAAGAAGTTGTACAGAGTGTAAGTCTTACAATGCTCTATAGCAGCTAGGTTGTGATGATTTTTTACTTTGTAACTGTTGACAGCGGTAGGTTTAGTTATTAGCTCGGAGGAGTGCAAAAGAGGATAAGTTAGCTTGTAATAAAAAATAAGGTTTAGCTTTTCCAGAGCGATTGAATCTTAGTCTATCGCAACGCTCATGATATTCGAGACCACTTTCTAAACCAAGAGTTCTTGCCGTTGCATTCCCCCTAATTTAAGCTTGTCATTTTGTCTGAGTCCGCTAAGAATAAACGAGCAGTGTTCTAAAATAGGTCGAACACATACTTTGTATAGTAAAACCTTAGTTTCACAACAAAAGAAATTGCGAGTTATGCATCCTAGGAGCATTAATGATTTACGTCTGGCATAGTCAGTTTGTTCTCAGAGCGTCAAGTTACTTGCGCATCTGATATCGAGATCTACGACTGAGTAGAGCTTGGCTAGTTTTCGCCCATTTATTTCAAGAGTCAAGTCAGGGTTACTGTTCCCGATACAAATCCAGCCGCATTTGTGAATGTTAAACTTTAGACAGGATTCAGCACACCATGGTGCGAGACCACTTAGTTCAATATGTCTTTTACTTACCATATCGTTTAATTCATGACTGTAGCAGGAGTAAACGACTTTGAGGTCATCGGCATATATGAATGGTTTACCTGAGGCGAAGCAGTTGTAAATGCTGCTAATGTAGACGGTAAATAACCCCACTTGATGTCTGCCAAGAATGAGACAATACAGATCCGA